CTAACTCATTCATAGCGTTGTAAAGACTTGGTCTTAAGACACTGTCATATGCCGCTTTAAAATCGACAAAAATATGATACATATCTATGTTAAACTCTTGCGCTTTTTCGAGGATCTGTCGTAGTGTAAAGATCTGGTTAATGGTTGAACGTCCAGGCCTGAATCCTGCCTGATATTCCCCTAGAAACATTTCAGTATAAGGCTTTAATCTCTCGTGCAAAATATTTGATAATATCTTGTATGCTGTATTTAGGAGAGTTATTCCGCGGTAATTATTGCATTTCAGTTGGTTTCCCTTTTTGTGTAACGGGCAAATTAAGCCTAAGCTCCATTCTTCTGGCATTTGCTCCTCAGACCAAATTCTACAAACAATTTCTCGCATCACCTTGGTGAGCTGCTCTCCACCGTGCTTAAATAACTCTGCTGGGATGCCATCGCTACCTGGGGACCTATGGTTCCTTAGTTTTTCTATAGATATTTTTACTTCATCTATCGAGGGGGGTTCCACGAGTTCCTCATTTCGGTATTCCAGCTCTATATTGTTAGTAGGTTCCCCTTCCAGCAACTCTCGAAAGTGCTCTACCCATCGTAAAAGGATGTCCTCTTTGTTGGTAAGTAAGTTGCCTTCCTTATCATTACAATAGTTATAAGAAGAGGCCCATACATATAAGAAGAGGCGTTCGACAGGGATGTGTGCTTTCCCCTCTTTTATTTAACATTTATTCAGAAGCCATATTTCAAGAGTCTTTGGAGGATGCAGAGATGGGAATCAAGGTGAATGGAGTATTGATCAACAACATAAGATATGCTGATGATGGTGTCTTAATTTGTGACAACATAGTCGATCTTCAACAACTTGTCACTATAATCGGAGAATACAGTGAGCGAATGGGACTAGAGATTAATACCAAAAAGACCAAATTCATGATCATCTCCAGAAACTTGGATGCATTTGAAAACTCCACCATAACACTGAATAGTAAATCCATAGAAAGAGTGAGTAAATTTAAATACCTGGGATCGTGGCTTTTTGAAGACTGGGCATCGGACAGGGAAGTAAAATGTCGCATTGAGCAAGCTCGACAAGCTTTCGTAAAATTCAAGAAGGTACTGACTTGTTCTGAGTTCGATCTTCAACTGAGACTAAGGTTTACTAAGTGCTACGTATGGTCAGTGCTGCTATATGGCGTAGAGGGCTGGACACTCAAAACGAGGGATATAAACAGATTGGAAGCTTTCGAAATGTGGCTTTATCGCCGGATCCTAAAAATACCATGGACAGCGAAAATCACAAATATAGATGTCCTTAAAAGAATAAACCAAGAACGCCAACTTTTCGAAACCATCAAGAAAAGGAAAACGGCGTATCTAGGTCACATCATGCGAAATGAAAAATACCAGTTCCTCCAACATATAATCGAGGGTAAAATTGAAGGCAAGAGAGGAATGGGACGCAAGAAAATGTCCTGGCTCCGAAACATAAGGCAATGGACAGGGATTAACGACATACAATCTCTGATACATATTGCAAGAAATAGAGAGTTAATGGAAAATGTGATCGCTAACATCCATTAGTGGATTTGCATCTGAAGAAGAAGAAGAACTTTCTTGTGTCTCCGTGACTCATATGGCTTTCGAGCCGTTCTAACATGTCATTTTCCGAGTCTCGTTTCTTTTTTCGGTGTATGCGTTTTTCCTCTCTCCTTAAGTTTTTGTATCTATCTATTGTTGTTCTAGTTTTTCGATGTTGCATGGTCCTAAATGCCTCGTTCTTCTCATCTGTTATTTTTTTGCAGTCTTGGTCGAACCAGTCGTTTCTTTCTTGGGTTCGGGATATTCCCAATGTGCTTTCGGCTGCTAATTTCAGAGCCTCCTTGCAGTTGTTCCACATTTCCGTGCTTGACTGGTCGACTGCCCAGGTGTGTTCTAGGGTTTCTTTTATATGTGACTGGAACTGTTTCTCCTTGTTTTCATTTTTTAGCATATGTAAATTATATTTTACTTGTCTAGTGCCCCTTTCTTTCTTGGCATTGGAAATTCTTTGTCGTAACTTGGCCCCTACCATAAAATGATCTGAGTCAATATTTGCTCCTCTGTAACTTCTTACGTCCATTAGGTTTGTAAAGTGCCTTCTGTCAATTATAACATGGTCGATTTGATTTGTGGTGTGTCCATTTGGTGATATCCAAGTGGCTTTATGGATATTCTTGTGATTAAAACATGTACTTCCCACAATTAAATCTTTGGAAGCTGCCAGACTAATAAGCCTTAAACCATTGTCATTAGTAACGTCGTGAAGGCTATGTTTACCAATATAATCTTGGTAGCATATCTCTTTTCCTATCTGGGCGTTCATGTCTCCAATGATTATTTTAATATCGTTTTTGGCACAGTTATCATATGCTCTTTCGAGATCTTCGTAAAATAGATCTTTAATCATCATCATCTTTAATCAAGGCAAGGTCCATACTCATGTAAAAATTGTCCATAAACAACGAGTGACCTGCATTTAGATGTTTGTGCATCAATTCCATGACAACTTTTTTTGAATGGTCTGTTCCGGCGGTAGTATCAAATTTATCAGCATAAACTTATATATTTTGAACTAATCCGTTAGGTTCAGTAAATACATACACTTCTATACCAAATGTATGGTGCTTATTTTTAATATACATTATAACACAGAGACGACCACGTCATAAAACTACTGATTCATTAAGGGAGAGATCTTTGTCAGGCTGATATATGTCATTCATTTTTTGATTAAAATAATTTAACAATTCAACTCTATAACTTCTCCTACCTCTGGACTTTTGGCAAAGTGCAGACACCGAAGAATTACCAAAAAACTGTCTCTACTCATATTTTCTGGGAAACACTTTACATTAAAAAGACTATCATTTTTCCAATAATCTTGTGTTCTGTTGGTTTTCCATGTCCCCATGTGTAAGATTAGCCCAAAAAATTTATGTAATTCTTCGGTAATGAGTGGTTTCCAATTTGTTACTCTAGATGTTTCTGTAACACCCGATAGAAATAACTGTTCAGTATACAGAATCGTTTCTGTTACTATCAGATCAAAAAAAGTTTCACCCGCCTGAAGACGAAAGTAATCAAAAGGTGTCTTACTTTGTGGTGGCTCTACCAACAAATTGCAACATCTAATAAATAAACTCAAATTGTTTCATTCCATCATGATCATTTTTCATTCATGGGATTTTCTGCATATGGATTTAAATTTTCATTGGGTTCTTCCCCATAACCTGCATTTGGATTTAAATTTTCATTCGGTTCCTCCTCGTTTTACATGGTTTGCACAATACCCGAAATATCGTCGTCACTACAAAAATACAAATTTAACACTTTTTTAAACTCATTTGTTTCCAGTTTACCTAACTCATCACCAACCGCATCGTCTATAGATGGAATATATTCGTCTTCCGATGAAATATATTCATCTTCACTATGTGATTGTGTTAAAAAGTATTCAAGTTCTTCTTGTGTTAACTTTTTAGGGTTTTTTACGGATATTTTTTTACGTTTTGACCTGAGAACAACCAGGCTCTGCGTTCTCCATCATTGCAATAGGCAAACACGTGTCAGAATAAAAGGAAACAACAAAAGTGACAACTGTGACGTAACTTCCGTTACCTGATGCTACTCCTCCAGGTAGTCATCGAGTAGTAGGTCTGGCCTTGGTTTGAGAATCTAAAAACTCGAATGAAAATTAGGTAGGCAACAATTTAATTTTAGTTTTGATGATTTCAGATGAAACTACTATACCTTGGGCTAGCATATTTTTGTTTAATGTATCTGACAAGCGATGCTACCAAAGAAGAAGTAAAACAAAGCGATACTAAGTAACATTTCTATACACAAGAGGTGACATACAATTAGAGTACTTAGCTAAATTTTAATGAAAACGTAGATATTGGCTGTTAAGTATATTTCGTTAATAACGCTGCAGAATAAACTTGTTTTAGAAAAAGTAAATATGAAGACAACGTTCTGCAAGCCATAAAAATATTTTAGAAAGTAAGTTAATATGACTACGGTTATGAACTTATGGAGAACTGTATGTTGCCCTAAATTATACCCACTTTAAGCAATTTACAAAGTTAATCTCTATCATTTGGTTTAGAATCATATATGTAGTCAGATTATTTGTTACATCGTAGTATGGAAACATTCCTTCGTTTAACTACACAGTATTTTTTTCACTAGAGAAACCTTTTATTTTTTAGACTACTTAGATTTAGAAAAATAAAAAAGTTCTAAGATGTACCTTTAAGCCGTGTTCTCGATTCTACTTAATTATTCAAATTCTTGTTGCAGTATGTGTTTTGCATTTCTACAATTCTAAATAGTAGGCAGGTATATTTTATTTTATTAACTTTTTATATGAGATAAATCTAAACAGAAAGTAATTAAACAAGTTATAACCGAGTAGGCAGATAATTAATACAGGCCTCTGAACAGAACAACAATGAACAAATTGGATCATGATGAGTAGATCAGGTAGTTTGCACTATTAATAATTATAGAGATTGTTCGTGCGCAATCAATATAATGGTAAATATTATTATTTAAACATTATTATTTTAAATAGGTCAAAAGGTGAACAGCAAAAAACTTTTTCTCTAATCTTTTCGACAGTTATGTGCAACTTATATAGCAATAATTAGTACATAGTGTTGCCTAACTAGTTGTGCACACTTCGACCGTTTATTTGATAGGTCAATATTAATTCTATGGTAAAATAGTTTTACAGTAATTACGGTAAGATTAAAACATCTGAATAATATAAATTTTCATTTACAGGATTCGATATTATTACATTATTTTACCGTATTGCAGCAGTTCTTTGACGTCATAAAATATGTAAGCATCCAGTTGATTTCCTCTTCTGACATCTATCAGCTGATTGCCATACCTGCAGGAAAAGGGCTTGCGCATTAAGTACACAAATATATAAAATTTGCCAGAGTGGGGAAAGGAAAGGGTATTTAGAAATGGCGGACGTATGTAGTGGTCAAAGTGTGATGGATTTGCAGACAGAAATGCAAAACAGTGCAGTGGATCGTTTAAAAAGACTTTATCCTGCAGTAAATGAAGATAAGACTCCTCTCCCAAGAGCATGGAGCACTAAGGATAAATACACATATATTGGGCTATCCCAAACCAATTTGCGTGTGCATTATAAAGGTAAGATTCTTTAACGTTTGACTCATGTTTAGCAATATTGTCAGGGTTTAAAAATAATATTTTCAAGACATAGGTTCGTTTGGGGTGTTGGGGAAGCTAATAAAACCTTTCTACCAAGTGTCAACGACCCATAATTTTTATGAAGTTCTTGGGAATCAAACAAAGAAATCAGCTGATCATGGCAGCAAAGGAAAACGCAAAATGATTGACCGTTCGATTACTTCCGTGTTCTTCAGTCGAATGAGTAAATAAGATAAAAATTATTAGATTATTTTAAATCTTAGGATTATTCCAAACGTTAGTACATTCTCTTGAAAAAAATTAAATTTTAACAGTTGTTAATCTGATACAGCTGTTATTCAAAAATATGAAGAGAAAACATTGTGTATTTGTAAAATGTGTTTAATAATAAAAACAGTTTTAAAATCCTTGCGTAGGTAGGTATTAAAGTAATTTAAAAATAATAAGGTCAAGGTTTAATCTTTGTTTTGTATTTTGGAATTGAAATTAATTGATTTACTTTAGAATAAAAGCGGACTTGGTATATTTTTTGAAAATAAAATAAAGAAAGTTGTTTTAAGCAATTGAAAGATAACTTTGTCTGTTAATTAACTAATGATAATTTTATGCATGAATACTTAGGTAATAAATACCAATTATGTAGTTAATACCTGTAAATGTGTTTTTTAATTATTGTCCTGAAATGGAGGTGAATACTATATAATAAAACAGTAAGATTAAAATATTTGAATGATTGGATAAACATTTTCAATTTTAAAAATTCTTTTAAAATTTTTAGATATTCCTGGTGTACCTACCCTTCAATAAGGGTCTATATAAACAACAATTATAATGACTTGAAATGTACTGAAACAGAGAGCTAAAATCGTCAAGGTCATTTGTGGTACTGTAAATCAAAAAGGGAAGACTCAGTCCTAATCTATTCTTGACATCAATTTAAAAAGAATTGCATACAAAATCGGCCGTTTTGCAGCATTCTGAATTAAACTCGTATGTCATGGAATAGTTGCAAGTTCTAGTAAAGTGAAAAACAATTTAACTTCAGTACTAATGCATCCATAATATCTAAATACATTCTAAAATTGCTATACTTAGTAATTATTGTGTAACAAGCTTACTATTTCAACAGTTTACACAGGCCAAACTCTAAATTTTAATTAATTTGGCAACACTGTTTTCTCGTCATTACACAAGTTGTGGATCACCTTTTAAGCTATATTATACAAGTTTTGGAAATAAGGAGTAATAACTCCTTATTTCCAAAAAAAAAAAAAACGGTTTTAGGTAAAATCTATCCACTATAGATAACTTAATAGACTTAGAGTCAGAAATACATGAAGCATTTGCGAATAAGCAAGATTTGCCCCCTTGGTATTAATAAAGCCTATGGATATGGTATAGAGGTTCATTAGTTTTTTCAGGATTTGAAAAAAAATAAATGCATTTAAAAAGCATTGGCCCGAAATTTTGCGCCTATGCTCTTAAAGACAAACTACATGTTAAGGACCATTTTAAAGGATAGTTTCTCTACAACAAGATTAGATCCACCATATTATGAAACAGTTAGTAGAGAAAAACCTTTATGACCTACATCTTCAATTTCCTGACATTTTCTGAATAAACTTCCTAACTCCACCCTCCACCTTAGTTAATACCAATTCCCAAAATTAATATTGGCCTTAGTATATACAAAAAAGTGAGACCCGATTAAAGAGTGATTCTTAAAATAAATGGAAACTTATCAAAATCGCTAGAAGATATACACAGACTCATTCAAATCATTAGACAGTGTTGGTGCAGCCATTGTCACATCAAATATGTCCTTAAAATTGAAATTCAAATCCATTAATTTGTCATACACTGGAGAGTTGTATGCAATAGGAGGGTTGTCCTTTTAGATTTCCATACACCCATAAAGGCAAAAAATTAATAGACAAAGTCCTTTATTGTTTTTCAAAATATGCCCCAACAAGATCGATACACTTTTGCATATGTTTAAACCAATTAGTAAAATAGTTATTCCAGTCTTCATTTGACACTTGCAAAATTGCTGTTTTTAAGGCATGGATAGCTTTTTCTGGCTACTGGAATCGCTGCCCACGCATTGAATTCTTGATCTCTGGGAATGTAAAGAAGTTGTTGGGGCTAAATGTTAAATGGTTTAACAATTCATTGCTTTGACGCTAAAAAACACACTATTGTCTTTTGAGCACTGGGGTTGTGCTAATGTAGGATGATTCGCCATTGTGTGTTGCTTTGTCAGAGTTTCGTGATAACTTCTGGTAAACAAACGGATATATACCAATCACAAGAAACGGTTCTCCGATTTTCTAAAGCAATTGTTGCCACATGACCAGATTTTGACATAAAAGTTGTGACCATTTTATCGTATTTGGTACACTTCGACCACAGAACACTTTTCTTGGTTTTTCCTCATGTGAAACAAATGCCCAGAGAAATCGGGCATAACAACCAGAGGTACAATCATCAATAGAATTGTACAGATATTGGCCTACGCAGATGACATTGACATAGTAACACAGACAAAAAGAGACCTGATACAGACTTTTGAAACATTAGAAAAAGCCGCGAAGACAATGGGACTGCAGGTCAACGTATCAAAAACAAAATACATGAAGATCACGAACAGCACACAAATAGCGGCACCACAAGATCTGGAGACAGAAGCACACACATTTGAAGGGGTCTCAGAGTTTATATATCTTGGAACACAACTAAATAATAGTAACCTAATAAGCGTAGAAATTAAAAGAAGGATATACCTGGCGAACAGAGCTTACTTTGGACTAAAGCAGTTCTTAACATCACACATAATTAGCAGAAAAACCAAGATACTAATATATGAAACTCTTATTAAATCTGACCTGACATATGCGTTCAGAGACATAGACTATGATAAAAAGCGACGAAGAACTGTTAGGCCGCTTTGAAAGAAGAATACTGAGACAAATATACGGAGGAGTACAAGAAAGCGGGATATGGCGTGGGCGCTACAATTTTGAGTTTTATCAATGCTATAAAAAATGCAACATTGTCTGGTCTATTAAAATTAATAGACTAAGGTGGCTAGGAAAATCTTGAAAGAATGGACACTGGAGACCCCCAAAGACAGATATTATATCAAGAGCCAGTAGGAACCAGGAAGAGAGGCAGGTCAAGATCTAGATTTAAAACTCAGGTCGAAGATGACTTGAGGAATCTAGGGGTCAGAAATTGGAAAACCAGGGCAAAAGATAGGGGGGAATGGAGACTAATTCTTGAACAGGCCAAAACCCTCCCAGGGTTGTAGAGCCAAATATGATGATGATGAAACACCCACACAGCGGCTTGGAATTTATTTTCCGGTTCGTAGGAGTAAATCCAAGATTCATCTCCACTAACAATACTATTAACGTTTTTTGAGCTTTCTTTGTTGGACCGTTCCAATGTTTTGCGACACCAATTGACGGGAAACCAACTTCGTAACACCCAGTTCTACATGTAGGATCTTAAATCGAGGTCTTTGAAATGGCCAAAGATAACTCTATCTTCCGTTATGTTACACGGCGGTCATCCTTAATTAGCTGTCGAACCGCCTTAGTGTTTTGCTGTGTGACTACTGTTTTGGGTGGACCTGGCCTGGGTTCGTCGCTGAGACTGGAGCGATCACGGATCACGTTGAAATTCACAATACCCGCGGAAATAGTTGACTAGTTGACGGAATAGTTGCTTCATTCCCAAACACAGAAACCATTTCAGCGAAATATTGCTGTTGGGATAATCCTCTCTGAAAATTGTAGAAAATTATTGCTTGAAAATGTTTTCGGCTAAGATCCATTTTTCGACCGACTTGCTAATTTCAAAAATTCACTGTATTTGCACTACTTGTTGTATCGCAATGAAACTTTTGATTTATGTCAACAAAAGATGAGGTTACATTTGTGTAGAAAGGTATTATTGGTGGTGCCTTCTAATAGGCTATATGCAAAACTAAAAAGACAAACCTCTTATTCACTTATCCACATAAAGAGCCGAAACAGTCATTGTCTGTCATAATTACCAATTCACTAAGCTCGCTTCACACTATTATACATTTATATAACAATAAATTCAATCACCTTACAGATTAAATTACCTAGCCTAAACGAAAAAAAAACAGAAAACTGTCAATTCAACTTTGTTTGTCCCATCGCATTGTAGTATAAAAGGAAATGAAGAAGTAGACCAAGTAGCCTGCTCGGCATCCTTCAGCCAGGACTCCATTCATATTTCTCCTTAACGAGGTTTCTTTTATGATTTGAAATCTGAAATCAAATCTAAAGTGTTTGGTGCGTTGCAAAATATGTGGATTGCATCACAAAATAAACTAGAAGAAATTAAACAATTAGTGAAACCGTGGCCCCAACCAATATCAAGTGAACAGACCACATCAAGTGAAAATAACGCGATTGCGGCTTAAACACAGTAACTTAACCCATAAACACCTCTTTATGCGAACTGAGACACCAATGTGCGAAAATTGCCAAACAACCCTTTCCTTGAAACATATATTAACTCAGTGAAAACTATATGAAGCTGCAAGAAAGAAGCATAACACCTGAGTGAATATAAAGAAGACCTTTTGAGGAAACATGATTACAATAGGTTATTTAAAAGGCACTGGTTTATATAAGTTATTGTAACATTACTTGTATTATATTAAATTTTGTCTGTCGCCAATGCAGTGGCTGCAGCCACAGTGGTTATTGGCTTAATAAATAAATACAAATAAATAAATAAAAAAAGCTTATTTTTCACTCGCCCATGTGTTCCACATCAAAATCACACACTGGAGATTTAAAATCAAAGTCTACAAAACTATTAGACCAATAGTATGCTATGTATGTCAGACATGGATCATGATAAAAAATACAAAACGAAAGCTGGAAGTTTTTAATAGAAAAATCCTAAGGAATATATTTGGACCTATTAACGCAACC